AATCGATGTTTTTGGCATTAATGTGAATTTAACAATCTATCACAATGTAATCTTTGAATAATGGTTTTAATTATTAAAATGATAATTGTTTTAATGAACCTGATTGCCACATAACTTTATTATCAGCTTAATTGTTAAAAAGTTTACCACAAGTCTAGAAGCTAGAAAACTTGAATCAGTTAGAAAATAGTGATTTAATAGTTATAATTTGTTGAAAATTGTTAAAATTCTGACATGTTGTAATCCTTTTATATTTCCATAAAAAAAATAGAGAATCGTGTAAAAAATAGGAAAAATATAAAGGTCATATGATATTCAAGATCATTTGATGGTCGTTTCGCATAAACCTTTGAATTTAGCTAACAACAGATGTAGCAGTAGCAGAAATTATTGTAAAAAATGCTAGTTTTGAAATTTTTTAAAGCACCAAATGTTACAAAAGTATTTAAGATTCTTTACAATTATATTACCATTTTATTGAAATATACTATTAGTAATACGCAAGTTCGATTATCGTTCAAATTATAACTTACCAGCAATGCAGTTATATAGGAGAAAGAAGATTAAAAACACAGATTTTTGCATGTTTTTAATATTAAAATGAAATTTATACAATCACTTATGGAACTATACACACGTATTATTTATTCGTTTATATATGTCCAATCGAACGAACTGAGAAGATATTCAACAAGTATCAATACTTATAATCAGAAGATATCTCATACGACTAAAGTTCACCAAAACTAACGTATTTTTTTTTTATTCTTTACTTCTTCCTAAAAATATTGACAGCAAATCAAAGTATATCATGAAAAACAAGTACATATATATATATATATTCAAATTTCAATCTCACAGTAGTATAGTAATTATTATAATAAAATAACACAATCAAAATCCAACAATCCACAATCCAAATTCCAAAATAAGTATTTTAACTTTTAAATTCACTCAGTTTCCGATATATCGATTATCTTTTATTTTGAATTTGAACTTTGGCGTAAAATTATGTAAAAGTTTACGCAGAAAATGTAACTGTAAACGAAATTTTTATAACTTAACAAGTATATCAAGCAATCTGTATACCTATTTGTATACATACGTTTTATATATCAAATAATATATGTAAAATATAATTTTAGCAATAAAAGATTCAGTCTTACGTACTTTAACATAACCTAACTTAATAAATAAAAGTTGAAAGTAATGTAGGGAATTTATTGCGAATAATTGGTATTGCATATTCCTAAATAATCATGCAGACAGTGCATCCATCTAGGAGCGTCGGCTACCGACGTCCGCCGCGGCGGCGATAGAGTCAACATCCGGCGACGCAGAGATGCGCACGTTTCGGCGCTCGCCGAGGGAAAAGAGACGCCGCGATCGTGACTTCGGGACATGAGAGCGACGATGAAGCCCGCCAGCCTGCACAGCAGCACCTGAGAAGCACATTCGCTTCCAACACTACGTCCTACAAGAGATTCGGCCGGTTTATTTAGGATTTACATAGGTTCGATCTTCGCTCCTAAAGTTCATCCTCAAACGATTGAGAGGCTATCCTTTCTACCAACGAGGTAACACACCTCTTCCTCTGAATCATGAATGGTTCTATGATCCTCTTTTTAAAATAAAAATGATTGATAATTATTGTTCAATCATTTTATTTAATTACCGAGTACTTTTGTTCAGTAGAGGTAATATGTTTCAAGAATCTTATAAATAGGTAAATTAGTTACGAGTGAAAATGAATAAATATCGTTTCACTTATTCTATAAAGAATCATGTATTTGTGTATAGTTTCGTTTTTTGACAATGTATTTTCCAGATTTTTGTGTAAAATGTATGATTCCATATTTTATTCACACTATTGAAATTAAAAATTTAATTGACGTTTTTTTTTATTTACAGTTTTGTTAAATATGATTTCAATTAACAGAACTGTTTTGCCAGTTTCTTTTTGTTGAATTTACTTAATTGCTCATACAATGTTTGGATAGAGCTCAATTCAGATATATATTAAACAAATTTCGTTTATGTATTGGATCTATTTTATTTTGATTTTATGTAATAAAGTATTATTTACACAAATCACTATTTATAATTTAATTTACATTCTATCAATGAAAATTTGACAATAAAATATGTAACCTCATAATATAATGTAGAATTTTTAAAGTATAGTTTAAAAATGTTAGTAATTTTTTATAACTTCATACATAAATGTATATGTATGAATTTAAATGTTTACTTAATCCTTGCATAATGTATACATTTGCTTATTAGTTTTATTATGTTACATAAAAATATATTCAATTTATAGTGTTATATTATAAAGATTAATTTTACTTAAAATTTTTTCTATGTTTTGCTTAAATTTTAGGACAGAATTGTTAATCATTCATTGATTTTTGGTGTGGGGACATTACCGTTAATACTAAGAGCATTCATCTTTCTTGTGTTTTGCCCTAAGAGGTTCTCGACATCCCTAGTTCAGGACACGAGGTTTGTTCCATCATTTAT